CCTTCCTTCCTTCCTTCCTTCCTTCCTTCCTTCCTTCCTTCCTTCCTCTGTTTGTTTTTTGAGGCAGGGTTTCTGTGTAGCCACGGCTGTCCTGAAACTCATTTTGTAGATTAGACTAGACTAGAACTAAGAGATCTGCCTACCTCTTCCTCCTGGGTGATGGGATGAAAGGCATGTGCATTTTCTTAACTAGGGATTGATGGGAGAGGGCCCAGCACATCGTGAGTGGTTCCCATCCCTGGGCTGGCAGTCCTGGGTTCTATAAGGAAACAGGCTGAGCAAGCCAGGGGAAGCAAGCCAGTAAGCAACACCCCTCCATGGCCTCTGTATCAGCTTCTGCCTCCAAGTTCCTATCCTGTTTGAGTTCTGTCCTGACTTCCTTCGTTGATGAATAGCAAAATGGGAGTGTAAGCCAAATAAACCCTTTCCTCCCTACTTGCTTTTGGTCACGGCAGCAATAGAAGCCCTAAGATAGGACCATATGATTCCTGTTCTAGACTGAGAGATTTTATATTTAGTAACCATCTTTCCTGAAGGTATATGGAAGAATAGGAGAGTAGCAAGCAGAGTCCCAAGGCATTACAATCTCAGAGATCACTAAAATGGCCACAAAACAGGGTGATTCATGGGGTACTGCACACTTAACTCTTGCTCATTGGTAGGTGCCACTGAACCAGGAGGAACCTGTGAAATAACAAAGCTGTGAGTAACAAGCAATGGTGCTGGTATCACCAAGGCTCATCTAAGTCCTCTCTCATATCTACAGGAAGGTACCCAACCACTACCTGAACCCTGTCCTCAATGAGGCCTCCTTCTGTGTGCTCTTGGGCAAAGAAGCAATATTCTCAGTCTTGTCTATTGGAACAAAAGAAGAATGGTGCCCATGTTGCCTGATGAAGAGATGCAGAACTTTAATTCCAGCACTGGGAAAGAATAGGAAGGCATGTCTTTGAGTTTAAGGGCAGCTTTCTATCCACAGTGAGTAGTGAGTTCATGGCCTGCTGGGGCTATATAGTAAAACCAACACTCAAAAACGAAAATTGATACCCATGCATATCTGAATATAATTATGTCACATTCAGTCAAGTGTGTCAAGTACTCACTAAAGGTGCTTCCTACACACATAATTGATTTTTTTAAAGTATTTTAGCACAAAGCCAGGTGTGCTGGCACATGCCTTTAATCTCAGCACTTGAGTAGCAGAGGAGGTGAATCTGTATGAGTCTGAAGCCACCCTTGTCTACATAATGAGTTCCAGGCCAGCCAGGTCTACATAGTACAACTCGGTCTCAGAAAAAAACAAACAGAAATACTGTCAGTACAAACATTTGCATATCCTCTCAGAATCTATTACTTTATTTGCACGTATTTACCTATTTGTTATGCTTAATGAAGAATAATATTACATCAGGCACACTGGCACAGCCTTTAATCACAGTACTCCAGAAGCTGAGACAGGTGGAACTCTGTGAATTAGAGGCCATCCTGGTCCACACAGTGAGTTCTCAATCAGCCAGGCCTACATTGAGGGACCTTGTCCCAGGGGATAAGGTTGGTGAGGTTAACAAACAAATGTGATAATCAACACATTAGACTTTAATCAAACATTGAGTATGTTCTTAAGCAATTGTTAGGTGCTTACAATAATATTATATCAATGATAATATATCATATATGTAATATATATTCTTATGTCTAGGTATATAACCATTAATAGAGTCTCATTATTATCCATGGCTAACCTTGAACTCACAGATATATATATACACCTGCTTCTGGGGTCTGAGTGGTGAGATTAAAGGTTTTATGCTATCACAGCCCAGCCATGCTGGTTTTATTGACACCGTTTGAGTATGGATCTTGACCAGATCCTGTGAAATGAATCCCTTATTTGATAAACCCCACAGTCCAGAATCTTACACTCTAATGATAAACTTTACCCCTGCACACAACCTGACCCAATGGAGGTATTCCCAACCCCAGGTCCATCTGTTTGCACTTTTACCTCAGATCCCACTTACAGAAGACTTTCTGTTTATTTTGTTTTGTTTTTCAGAGACAAGGTTTCTCTGCATAGGCTTAGCTGCCTCAAACTCACAGTAAGCCTCCTGCTTCTACCCACAGAGGGCTCGGATTAAAGGTATGCCACACCACCACAACTGGCTAATAGAAGACTCTTTAATATTCTCCTTCCCAAATATCAACCAAGCTTTGTGTTCTCACTGGTGTCCAGTGACCTCCCTTTTTTATTCCCACCTCACACCTTCCCCAGTACCCAGAAGTGAATGAGCAAGCTGCCCAGACACTCTCTCTCTCTTTCTTCCTTCCTTTCTTTCTTTCTTTCTTTCTTTCTTTCTTTCTTTCTTTCTTTCTTTCTTTCTTTTTTCTTTTGTTTATTTGTTTTTCTTTGTTTGGTTGGTTTTCGAGACAGGGTTTCTCTGTGTAGCCTTGGTTGTCCTGTACTCTCTCTGTAGACCAGGCTGGCCTTGAACTCAGAGATTGGCCTGCCTCTGCCTTGCAGAGTGCTGGGGTTACAGGTGTGCACCGCGCACCCGGCTTTGTTTTGTTTTTCGAGACAGGGTTTCTCTATGCAGCCCTGGCTGTTCTGGAACTCAGGAACTCAGACATCCACTGGCCTCCCCACTCCCACCCTTCCCCCGCCCAGTGCTGAATTAAAGGCAGGCACCACCACCTCCCAGCCTCCCAGTCTCATTCTGAGACGCTCAGCATCACTAAGGACAAACTGATCCCAATCTGTGAACTTGCTGCAGCACAAACTCTCAAACCGCCATCCTTCCACATGGTCAGAAAAAAAGGAACAGAAAAACTAGACTAGTCCTTCTGTTTGCTGCACTTGGCCCATCAGGGGGTCCTGACAGCTCGGATTTTAAAATCCGTCAGGAGATCCAATCTCTTCTCTGCACTGCACGGTCCACCCACCCCCGCATTGCACACAGGATTACAGACAGATCACAGGTGTCTCCACCTGCAGTACTGCGATTCTTCCAGGAGGGTTGTAGCTTTGACAGATAGATCCAACGTCTCCCCTGTTGCAAATCTGTAGACATCTTAACAAATCGAACTCAGTTACAGAAGCATGCTGAGCCGTTTCAGTAAGGCAGGAGCCACATCGGAGGTTAGGTCTCGGAGCTCAGGCCTGCCTGCAAACCTTTGGAGGTACGCTCCACCTAGAGTCTGATTCACTCCCCAGCACACAGATTGTCAAATAGGAGAATCTAGTAGTCCACGACAGAGCTAGCGTACCACACAGTCTTGGCTGTGGCCTGTCTTGCCCTGACCCGCAGGCTTATGACCCCAGGGCTCCCCACCAGTGCTCCTGCATTCAGGTAGGCCCTGGACCACGTGGCGCTTACCTGGGTCTGGGGTCCTTGCTCAGCAGCCGCCATCAGACTCTGCCGGCCAGCAGGGGACAGGGACGTAGGCATCTTTGAACCAGGCATTCAGCGGGTCACACGGTGGCCTAGACTTCAGACACACCTTGGTACCAGAGGACAAGGCTCTTGTCCTTTGGCAACTCCCCGTCCTGGACTACTCAAAGTGTTACCAGTGTTCTGAGGAACTGGGAAATGCAGCCAGGAACTTTGAAAAGATTCTTTGGCCAACCTCCCTAAAAAGTCCCGCCCAACACGTTTTGCAATAATGGACGCGTCCATTTTGATTGGCTGAGCTTTAAAAAAAAAGTTTCACCACACCCCAGTCCTAGATATACCACAGCCTATAGCAAGTCACACACTCAGGAATAGTTGTCTAACCCAAAAGGGACTCAGCGGGGATTTTGTTGTTGATGGCGGTGGTAGTAGGACTGTGTATTGGTACGCCCGCTTTTTTTTTTTTTTTTCATTAAATGAAACAGAGAAAGTACATGAAGTTGGGGGGGGGTGGAGGGGGGTGGGAGGAGTTGGTGGAGAGGAAAGGAATATGATCAATATCTTGCAAGAAAAATTAAAACTTAAATTTATTCAGCCAGGGAAGATGGATGTCTCTGTGACTTAAACTAGTGTCGGGTCAGACTTTGTGTGTTGCCTGCATGTGGTTCTTTTCAAAGTTCCCGGATGGGTTGGTGGAGTAATTTCAGTCATAGTGGTGGGGGGTTCTAGTTTGCATTGAGGCCCATTAAGGCTTCCTCCTCTTGGCTGGGAGGTGGGGGACTACAGCGTAATTCCAAGTCCGGTTGTGGGTGTAGAATTGATATTCTTTGTTGTTCAGCTTTTTGTTTTTTACTGTGCAGCCCTCCTTGGCTGTCCTGGAATTTCCTCTATGTCACACGTCTGTCTACCCCTGCCTTCCAAGAGCTGAAATTAAAGGCCTGTGCCCAGTCAGAGAACCTCCCTTCTTACTCGGAAAAATGTCCCCTTTCTTCCCACTATCGGCC